TCAGCTTTGTGTAGCAGAGTGCTTGCTATCTACCCGGCACTCAGCACATATCTCAGATTCACACATGACTGTATCACGAGGCAAGTTCTCAATGAGATAGTGAGGCGGATGGCTGATTAATGCTGATTTCCAGTAGTGATGGGTAAAAAGACAGAATCACCACCCTCTTTTCACCTTTCCTGGTGGCCTTTTCTGTGGCTTTCCCCCAAAGTAGTGACAGCCTGTAGGTGCAGATGGTTGCTCACTTACGAAGCAGAGCGTCGGGATTTCACCGACAGGGCCACTGGTTGTTGGCTAATTTCAGGGGAGGAGGAAATGCAGTGGTGGTCCTGACCCTCCTGGCTCCTGGCAGGTGTTGGCTCACAAAGCCTGCATTGGTGAGGAATCTCTAATACCTGCTCAGGTAGCAAGAATCGGGTGTCCTCGGCCTTGAGGGTGCAGCAGACCTGGTGGCAGCCAGCAGCGTTTGCAGGGAAAGACTGGTAATACAGAGAAGTCCAGCTGCAGAAGACGGGGCTCTGAGGGAAGAGGGCGGGGCTTTGGTGAGGCCAGGGAGTGGTCGGGAGTCTGGCTCCAGCCCTGCCAGACCCTCATCTTTTGTGAAACCAGCATGTGACACAGGCCCGAGGTCATGGCTCTCTCACAAGCTTGGTAATTAGCAAAAAGTGTGTGGTTTCATGCTTTCAAACCATCTCAAGGCCAGGGCAAGAGAACAGGGATCTGATAACTTGTTGCCATCTCTGGCATTTTTTTCCTGCTTTTTTAAAAAAAATAATATTTTAATTGATTTTATAGAGAAGAAGGGGGAGGGAGAAAGAGAGACTGATTTGTTGTTCCACTTATTGGTGCATTCATTGGTTGATTTCTGTATGTGCCCTGAACGGGGATCAAACCCGCAACCTTGGTGTATCAGGACGATGCTCTAACCAACTGACTACCCACCAGGGCTTTCCTGCTGTTTTACTGCTCGCTCTGCGATTACTCAACACAGTGCGGCTGGGAGGAGAGAGCAGCAGGTACCACTGTTCGCCAGGCGGCCCGAGCTACCATCTGCCTCTCGGAGAAGAGGGGAGGGCGGTTGGCAGGGCAGAGCAGGTTTCAGGGCCGGTCCGTCTCCGCAGACCTGCTCAGCGGCCAGTTCACTGTCAGCACGCCGAGTTGTTCTCTCTTACTCACCAGGACAGTCACGTCGGGCCTTATTTTTAGTCCTCACATTGTGTTTACTCCCTATCCAGATCCTTGCGGTTCCTGGAAATGGTTTGACTCTAGCAGTAGTGCTATGTGCACACAGCGAGTGTTCAGATTTTTTCCATTTCTGAAACATCAGTTCCCAGGGAGGAAGAAAAGTTCATGTCTATTGAGCATCTATAACACTCACAGGTGCTCTGTCATCCACGCTTCCAGGCGTGCAAAGGAGGGTGAAGCGGGACTTGAACAGGTGTTAGGTTCTCTCTCTGCTGGACACTGCCTTGCACACCACACGGATTTGTCTCATTTAACCTCCTGACAGCCCCACGACGGAGGTACTGATAGGGAAACGGAGGCTTGGAGAGGTGAAGCGACTTGTCGGTGTAAGTGGCAACCAGAATGCACCTGGCTTCCTGCTTCTGTGTTCACTGGCCCAAGTGTTAACCTGAACCTTTACTAAAATCCATTCTCTGAAATGGGCTATGGCCGGGGGTTGGTTCAAAAAAGGTTCTTTGCAATTCGGACACTGCAGCACGTGAGTGGTTTTATCCGAGCTGGTGAGTGGATTCTCGGTAATCCTAGTCAAATAAGTATTACACAAGTGTGATGTGTTTTTCTTCCCCAGATCGGCCGTGGATTTGGAACATTCCTTATATCAAAGCCCCAGACACACACGGGAACATGTGGGTCCCGTCCTGAGGGGTGAAGCTCTGTGAACCTTGAGTGTAAGAAGTGGAGCCCCAAACACTGGAGTCCTTGTTGGTACTGGGTGTTCGCGTCCCTCAAAGTGTCTCTGCACCCCTGGGAACTCGGCGGAGGTCACTCGTGGAACATGGATGTTGGTCATAGTATAGTTGTAGTCATTGTTAATACTTCTCACTAAAAAAAAAAAAAAGTTCTATTTTCTTAATTCCCTTTTCTATGTGTACTCTGGAATGAGAGCTATTAAACTTCACAGTGTGAAAAGAACATGTAGATAGGAAGTTCTCCTGGTAGTGACTGGAACCTCGAGATGCTGTTGGCCTTCTGAATCGAGGGTTCACTGTGTGTGCTGGGTGCTCTCGGGAAAGGTGCTTTCCCACCCAGCCCCCTCTCCACTGCCAGGGTGTCTTGGGGTTGTGGGCCCGGGGCTGCAGATTCCAGGCCTGTCACTGAGGCTGGTGGGCTGCCCTGCAGACCAGTGAGCCATGTGATCCCCAGCCCAGCAGTGTCTGGAGGCTGTCCGTCCTCCCAGCACCAGGCCAGGGCACTGACTGCAACGGGTTCACTGGCTGGGGCCACCTGCCGTCTCCTCACCCGTTCCCCAGGCTGCGTGGGTGTCTCTTCATCCATCCCCACAGATTTCTAGCAAAGACGCCTCACACATCATACGAAAGCACACAAGTGTTTTACTTGGAAGAAATCCCAAAAGGTGACCCAGTTGGGCACCTTCAAATCACAGGTGAGGAAACAGGCCCAGAAAGGTTCAGGATGTCCTCCTGGTCTCACAGCTGGCTCCCAGTCTCACAGCTGGCTGGGTCAGAATTCCTCTAATGATTCACTTTAGATTTTCACTTTATGTAAAAAAATATTTTTTTAATCTGTAAATAAATATTGAACTCACCATATGCAGGGAGAAGTATTGGGAGACAGGAGGAATGTACTGATGTCTACAACACTTACTTTGAATGCATTTAAACCAGATGGGTTGATGGATGGAAAGAGGCATGGGTAGATATGCACTAAAGCATGTACTAGTATAGTAAATGTTCATTGTGGGATCGAGGTGGTGAATATATGGGTGTTCACTGTAAACTTCTTACAACTTTGTTTGAAATTTTCATAATAAAATGGGGGGGGGGTAGTTGCAGGACTCACCCATGGCGTATACACATGACCCCATAGCCACTATCCCCCTAACGCCGTTGCCCCCAATAGGCTAGATAAAAGAGGGGCATTCTGGAGCTGAGAGTAACACTCAAGCATCCGGGCTTCTGATGGCAGAGAATCCAGAGCTGTGGGGTGTGTGTGTGTGTGTGTGTGTGTGTGTGTGTGTGTGTTTTCTCTCTGCTCCTGGGGAGTGTAGGTGGGTGGGTGGGCTTTGAGCCTGAAACAACTCTTTTGGGAGGTGGAGACATCTTGCTTCGCTCGGAGATGCCCACGTATCTATTCCTTTACTAGTACGTATCCACTTTCACTCCCACATTTCAGGGGCTGGTAGGTGGGGGCGAGCTGTCTGAAAGGGATGGAGCTCCCTCTTCTGGCCTGAGAGGAGCCCACACAGCCCGACCAGCGCTGGACCCGCCTCTTCAGCACCCACTTTGTGTATCTGCGCGGCACCCGGGGTGGGAGAACCGAAGCCCCCAGAGGTCCCGCCGAAAGCCGGGCATCCGCGGGCGGA